ATTATTGTTATTATTATTATTATTATTATTATTATTATTATTATTATTATTATTATTATTATTATTATTATTATTAGGCCTGTTATGTACATTTACATTTACTTTTGCAGGATGCTGCACCACCTGGCTCATCTCCATCAGGCGACGTAGTAAAGCCTAGCTTGCCAACAGCCGAGGCCAGTATACTGCCAAGGGGCAGGTTTATATTGGTAAAGGCCTATGTCGAAGAATAACTTTTCAGAGAATTTCTGGGGGGGATTTCTGCATTCGTTTGCTAATATTATTCTATATAATTTATAATACAATTATTTTTTTGATGTCAACTTTTAATTGCTATGATGAGCTTTTATGCTGATTTTTTTTTAAAGAAATTTGAATAAATACACTATGACCTACTAAATCAGCAAATAATATTACATACTCTACTTTGTTTGATTGTTTTCAAGTTGTGTTCATGTAACCATGGAGGTATAAAAAAGATGTAACGATGTTTATCTGACTATGCAATGCCCGAAACACAACATATCATGCCGCCCTCTACGCCAGCGTCACCCTTGTTGAGATGCGTTTAAAAAACAAGTTTCTGTAACATCCCATCAATCAATCAATCAATCAATCAATCAATCAATCAATCAATCAATCAATGTATATGGAAAATAACACCTTAAGATCGATGGCATACACAAAGTTGGTGCAGGAGGGAGGTGTAAAAATTTAAAAAAAATACCCCTCCCTGGTTGGTGCATCCAAATTGACAATCTCAACAAAATACAGACTTAAAACTAAACATACAAAAATACAATTTTGAGATAAAATGTTTAACATCAACGCTAAGTGCGCCGGGGCTTTAGCGTCATCCTCAGATCTCAAAAGGTATATAGGTACGGTCGGTCCGCGGCAAAACATGATCTACAGAACCTAATACCAAGCGCATGCGTAGAGGGAAGAAGAGCCTGCGCACCTTGCTCGCGCTAACACTGTGCTACTCAAGCGTTTTGCCCTGAGTACAGTTAACAATAAAATTGTAATTCCACCCCGGATCCCACAAAAACCTAGGCTTTGAGTCTATGGAGGTGAATACTGTACCTATTTAATACATTAGCTCAGAAGTACTTCATTTTAACGTTTGCAAGCGATGGGTCCGCAATGATTGCACAAGAAGTCTAGGCTAGGCCTGGGCCCTTGTGTTTGGCCGGCCGTTTATATTAGGCAAGCCAGAGAGTGTGTATCGGGCTCATCGTTTGGATTTGGATGGCAGGCAGAGGAGGGGATATGACCGGTTGAGCCGCCGACAAGTTGAGCCGCCGGTCATTTCTATGGAACGCCAAGCGCGTCTCTCAGTGAATGTAGTCGGCTTGCCGATGTCATCAGTGAATGAACCCCCCAGATACCAGCTACATATTCATCCCACAGTCTTGTCAGTCTTTGATTTGCTCGTATTACCGTTCGTGATGTATAATTGTGTAATTGAAAATTAGAATTTTGATATTTTTATGTACTACATTTTTATAAAAATATATGAAGTTGTATAATTGCAAAATCGTATTAAAAATGTAATTTTATGTACTAAATTTTTATAAAATTAAATGAAGTTGTATAATTGTAAAAAATATTTATTATATATAAGTTTAACAAATAGTACAAAAATAGAAATATATAAATTATAAAACCATAGTAAATACTGTATAAAAACATAGGCCTAACACATTTAAATTTATTGTTTCTAGTCATGCAAAATCGTATTAAAAATGTAATAACTTGATTATTTTTTACGTTTGGTTTGCAGCGTATTTCAATTAACTTATTCGTTGTTTGTACTATTTTGTTAAATTATTTAATTAAATTATATTTATTATATATCATATATAATAAATGATAAGAATGTATGCCGCAATTAACGCACTACATTGACTGAGAGACGCGCTTGGCGTTCCATAGAAATGACCGGCGGCTCAACCGCATATAATATTTATTTGTCAGGATTAGTCGTTACGGTTTTTATAAGTAAGCCAGTAGACTTGAATGTTGCCAGTTTTAGGGAAATGTACCTGAATAAATCCGTAATATTCATGTATGTTATTTTGCTTTATATGATTCCCATTACGGTATTTTATAAAGGTATGTTAAGATTCTACTAAAATATAATTATGGGCCTACCGTAGTAATAATTCGGTTAATATAAAAATATATAAGAATAGTAAATACGGTAATGAAAAAATAATATTAGGCCTAAGAATAATATTAATTACAATTATAATACTAAAATAATAAAAATAAAATGTTTAATAATATTAATTATTATTTTATTATTATCATTACTAAAGTGAATTATTATTTAGTAATTGTATTCAATATTCAACTTCAATTGAATTAAATTGTCATAATGTGTAATCGCCATCGCTATTCATGTAGGTAATTCTGTACGTATAATTTGGGTTTACATTTGTCATCTGGGCCATGTTAGTTTTGTCCGAAGTGTCGGCTGGGCCGAAGTGACCAGCATTCATTTGGATGATTTAGTACCTATGCTATGGCCCAATAAAAAATCTGCATGGAGGTATAATTTTACTAGGGCATATATCATATCTCTATCAGTAATAACAAGTACTGTATCAATAAATTATTACAACTAGAGACTAGGCCTATACAGTGTATGCAAATAAAAATCATCACAGTAAATACTGGAAGAGACTACAGGTATTTGCATGGTATATTGTGCGAATAATTTCATATTCGTAGTTCAATAAATAAATACATTTACACCATTCACACGATTATTTTATTGGCTACATCAATTTGTAGGAACATGGAAGCATAGAGACACTATCTGATTGGAAGTTAGCAGTGCAACAAGGTGTAACCATAGAGACACTTTTAGGGCTCAGTGATAATAGCCAGAAGAAAACCAACCAAAAAAGACATGCTGAGGAACATGAGGAAAGACAAGAAGCTGCAAAAGGTACAATATACAAGAATATTAGAAGTTTAACAAGTATATAACAATTTTAATAACAAGAAATTAAAATTAATTGTCATACTGTAATACTCTGTCAATAAAGTTATTCCCTCTTTTTGTGGAATGCCAACTGTATTTGACACTGATAAAATGACTTGCAGTTAAATCATGTTAATCATTGACATTATCTATTATGAATATTCATGAAGACTACCATTTTCAAGAAATTTAACAAGGTACTAGGTGTATGTTAAAAAAGTAGGCTAAACATTCAATCTAGCTCTTGAATAAAAAAAATTACAGACCACAAATTAAAATTGGTATACCAAGTTTTTAAATTTGAATAATTTTTCTTATTCAACTCTACCTTACAATTAATAGTAAACCTATGTTGTTTTCTCTGTACAAACTAAAAAGCCGAGACAGCAGTAGATGATTTTCTGACAAAACTGAATGTTGAAATTAATGGAACTTCGCTCTCATTTCAACTGTGCTGCCCTCAAATACCAACTGCTCATCCTGTCACAGCCAATCAAGTGCTTATTTCACCACCGTCAGTCCCAGTTTCTCAGCTCCTATCACCTTGGTACAGTACAAGTTATATTATTTACTGTATTAGATATCATTTAAACAAGGTCCAAAATTAAAAGTACAAAATATATAATGTACATATACTGTACCATTATTACTGTACTGTATGCAAATAATAAATATCATATTTCATTTTTCTTGTTTAGTTTTGTTGGTGTTCAAAATGATAAAGGAGATAAATCTACAAGTAGTGGAGAATGAAGCAAATTGACTGAAGAAAATCAAATATCAAAGGAAGGAGTACAGTAAATTCATTTGAGTGATGAATCAGTAGAACAAGAAAGTGATGATGTATACTTGCTCCTGCAATATATCGTGTCAGGGGCAGATTCAAGGGGTGGGGGAAGTCAGCCCACTCTGGCTATGTTCTTACACGGCTGCAAATGGTTAGCAGGATTCGGATCCAGCTAACCATTAGCTGCTGTGCGCCCATCCGAAAAAATCCCGATCCGGATGCCAAAAATATGATGATTGAATCACTGGCCAATAAGAAACTGGAAATTGTAAACGCGTACATGTGATTGGTTGATGATAGAAACACGCCCAACTTGCTAACCGATAGCGCTTGCTAACTGTTAGCGGTATCCAGATACTGCTAATGGTTAGCGCTAACCGACCGGGCGTGTTCTCACGCAGGTGCTAATGGTTAGCTCCCGATCCGGATACTGGGGCTCTCGTGAGAACCAGCTTGTAAGTTTTTGAAGTGAGGAAAAAGAAAATTACGATATCACTGTTACATACGAGTGCCACTATTGTGGCAGTGTCATTTTTAAATAAAGTTTAATATTTACGTTCATATTTACCATGATAATTGGCAATAAAGTTTGTATTATATATCGGTCTTTCATTATAACATTCTTCTAATGTAAGCCTTTATTAAGTACATCAGCATGTACTGTACAAGTACCGTACTCGCGTGAATAAGCGCCCCGTTTGAATAAGTGCCCCCTCATAAGATTTTTTTTTAGCAAGTCAATAATCCAATCAATCCTTGGACTGTGGTTGTTGGCATGATTTGAGCTGTAGAGTGGAAACACATTATTCAGTCAATATCAAAATAAGGATATTTCTCTTGGACAGATGAGAGCTCCAATCCCTTGACAGACAGTATATTTCCAACTTTAAGCTTTTTACATATTTGTCTATGTCAAGTCCTACCCCTTTTTTTATTTTTTCAACCTTAACCACATTCTCATCTGAGTTTTCAAGAAAAATACAATGATCCTGCCATCCCAATCGGCCGATGGCCAACAAGCTAACCACTACCCACCACTAATTGCATCTTCTATTTTGCTGTTATGTAAATATTCACGCATTCTTGTTATGAACCATGTTCTCTGGACGATTATCTTTTCCTAATTTTTTTTTCATTCAAAAAGTGCCTCTTGAATTTTTAATTATTAAAATAATTTCCCATAAGAACCCCTCGATTTTCATCTATTTCCATAAGCGCCCCCTCAATTTCCACTCTGTTTTCATAAGCGCCCCGTTTAAATAAGCACCCCTCAGAAAGTGCAAAAATATTTTAAGCGCCCGGGCGCTTATTCGCGTGAGTACGGTACTTGGAAAAGTGAGCAAATGAGCAAAGCTCCATCCATTACATTAGTTAGCTATTTTTGGTCCTCCTTTTACAGATACAGTACTGTATGTATTACTTTTAGACTTAGTAAATGGCAAAGTATGGCAAGTGTTAAACCCATACAGCAATATGTGTGATGACACAGTTTAAAGATGAAAGGAATCTCCATGTATATGTATAGCCATTGGTCTCAAATACTTGGAAATAAATACAATTTTAAAAACAATAAAGACTTTTACTGTGTTATGTATGTGTTTGCAGACCTGAAGTGAAATTACAAATTGTTAAATAGAACAAGAGGAAAATACATTGAGAACCACAACCAAATGTTTATTCCAAATTACAAAATGTCATCAACATGAAATATGCGAGTGATATGATACACTTAGTAGTGGTTGGACTTCTAAATGAAGTAAATTTCACTGTAATGTTATTAGAAAGAACAAATACTATGTTTATATTAAGATTTGCATATTGTGGTATAAAACAGTTTTAAACAGGTAGTCTTAGCTAGTCAATTATGACCATTCGTATAACACTGACTTAAGGAAAAACTGTATTGATTTTTGAAGAATAATTGCCCAATAGCAACCATGCATGCATAGCAACTTAATCGTGTCACACACATGCACATAAAGCTCAATTGTGAAGCTCAAAAAAAGTTTCTACAGCTGTTTTTAAAGTAAAACCAAGACTAAAATTTATCAAAAAGAAACAATTATATATAGATTAAACTGTCCACAATTTTAGAAGGAAACATAAAAGTACAATATTTTCGTATAACACAAAAAAGATCTAAATGACAATAAATAAAAACAATTGAGATAAAAACCTCTGTTAGCATCACCATATTTTGGTAATGGCTTGGGAAAAATACATGGCATCTTGAGCACTGGTAAGTTTGTATAATAAAAGAGGATAAATCTATAGGGAGCTAGACTTCTAGCTGAAGTCTGCACACATTGTGAAGGCACTGCATTTGCACATCACATCTCAAAAGGGCTCATAATCAACAGATTCAAAAGAGCAAAAATGATACAGAACTACAGTAAATATAATATTAATTTTTTATTCAGTTTGGTAAATCCCCGTTCTGCATCCTTTTTAGCGCACGACCCAAATTATGTCAAGCACTCAGGCGCGCGACCCATCAAACCTAAAGTCAATAAATCACGTCTGTCGTTTTATACACCAGAGGAATAGCGGGAAGAACCACCCACTTGATTATTTTGTGAATTTGATTAAAAGATATTATCACCCAGAAGTCACTATGTACAACCCATAAAAATGAAAATATAACTTTGAATTACTCATTCATTTTAACAAAATCACGCAAGTTATCATATTTTTTAATTAAAAAAAGAAAAATTAATGATCTACAGTCATTTTATTATAAACTCCTAGTGCTGCAGATTTATGGGTTATGCGAAGACATACACATTAAATTAAAAAACTTTTTCTCATAATTTGCAGCTGAAAGCCTAACATATTGAAATGAATAAAATCACACTTTAAAGTTATCATACCTGAAGTACACATATTTTGATAGTATATTTTTATTATGAAACTGTGATAATGCATGCATAAGTCGCACTTAAATTGTAAAGTTTTCACTATCTGAATAGATTATGCGACCCATCAAATCTCTTTCGTGACCCAAACATTGGGTCGCGACCCGTAGGCTGCAGAACGGTGTGGTAAATTATGAAATACATTATAATTTATATATAACTATGCTAGACATGGGAAGGTAAAGCATGGCGAGGCGAGAAGAGGGAAGGGAAGGGAAGGGGAGATGCCAAACTAAATTTTCTTGCCACAACCCTGCTTCCGATGACAATTACTGATAAGCAGGGACGGAATTATTCTTTGAGTCCCCAGGAAATTGTCGCGGTCTCTTGCATTTGTGTGAGCAAACAGGTATCGCCAGGAAACTTGTGCATGTTTTTACTACAATATTATCACCATGAAGTTAGCCAACCATGGCTAATAAATCTTATTATTATTATTATTACAATAAGATAGCTCTTTAAACCAACTTGGGACTCCTGCATAAAAGCTTCCACTACTGACTTGAATAGGATTTCATTCTTATTCCCTACCAGTTATCACATAGTTCAAACCAAATGTTAAAAGCCTCTCACTTTTCTTTTTGTAACCCCATCACAATGTGGCCTCTTGATGCTACTATTTTTAAAGGGAGTTTGATATTAAAGAAGCGACAAGTTCTACTTTTTTTTGTGGTTTTTTGATCAAATAACTGACTAATATCAATATGTAAAATACTATTTTCTGGAGGGGGGGGGGAGGTTTGATGTTTTCACTTGAAATCACCAGAGAAAATGGTTCAGTGTTTAGGTGTGAAAATCTTGTGTATGCCAGTACTGGATGTAACCCGGGATATAATTCTTCACTCAATCAGCTTCTTTGACTTGAAATAGCGGCGAAGGTAGAACACTTGCCATGTGGCTAAACTCAATAAGCACACCATAGAGAAGATGCTAAAATACAGGACACGAGTGTTGGTTGATTCTGTATTGATAAGAGTAAACAAAGCAAAATTATTATTTGGCCTTTATTTGTACCCTCTACATTGTTGCTGATAGGTCAACTATTTATAAATGAACTTTATTGTTATGACTTGATGCTGAAACAATTTTTTATCATATACAGGTCTTTGAGTTCCTAAATTGTAGCACATTTTAAACTAGAATAGTTAGTTTATTACTTATAAATTTTCACTGGATGCTATCAGCAGAGACAATAGTTTGTATTCAAGTTGTATGCTTATTTTTTTTAAAAATATATATTGAAATTGTAAATTCTAATTTGTAAATATATCTAAAAATAATAAATTCATATTATATATTCTAATTTGATATTTAAAGTGCAATATATTGAATTTTTAAATTCTAATTTGTAAATATATTTAAATCATGAATTAATAAGAATAATAATCTATCTATAATTATCTTAATAAATTTAAAGTAATGATTTTAATAACTGTAAATATTGTAACAGAATTGTCGCTACAAATATGATAACATCACTAGTTGATTTATATGCCTCATTCATAGTATTTTGAAATTCATATATTTGCTATGATAGCTAAAAAAATGTTTAATTTTTCATGCGAAATGGACTTTTTTCTTATAAATTTTACTGTGTGGATTTGTAATTAATAATAATAATAATAATTTTGGCTTATATGGCGCATTATGCTAAAGCATCAATGCGTTTAACAATAAAAATAAAAATGCTAGGAGAAATTTAAGAAAAGTACATATAATGTAGGGTTTACTTATTTAATGTGCTGTTTATTTCATCTTTAAATGTTTAATGTATTTGTGTGTAAGCTCACAATTTTTCCCTCTGGGATTGATGTGCGTGTTTTTATACCAAAATAATTAAATCAGTTTAAAAATAAAAGTACATGTTTCTATTTCTTTTTAAGTGTCCTATATTTACTGAAGGTCATCTACCAAGCATGAAACCATAAAACAGCATTTTACCATTTGTATCTCTCATCTCCTCTTCTCTCTTCCTTAAGTAAGCAAAGTCATTCACAATTGATTCGGAAAGATCCTCTAAACGTCGCAATTCAACTTCCATTGGCTTCAGTTTTTCAGCTTTAGCCAGCTGTGAAGGTAAGTCATGAATATTAATGATATGCAAATTAGCTTCTGTAAAAAAATATTCCAATTTCGCTTTTCTACAATAATTACAACATCGACACACACAAAAAAAACACAGAATGTGTTTACTTAATTTGAAAAATATAACTCAAAACAATTTAATAAATTTACCATTGATTTTTACAAAACATAGTAATTTGACACCAGTCTGTGAGCAAAATAAAAATCTTCATGTTATATAAGAATGAATGGTCAGTCTGCTTAACTGCCCGGATGAACCTCAGTGGTCTGGGGTGCAGGCTTCAAACCTGTAGCTGATTAACGTCAGAGTGGTTCAATTCCACCTTCCGGGCGTGTTTTTTTTTTGTTTTTTTGTTTTTTTTAATTCTGAATCTAGATTAATTTTGAAAAACAGAAACAAATAGAAAATCTAGCCTCCACCGGTTCACTAAGGCTACTCTCAGCTTATTCATATACAGATACCAAAGAGTAGAGAACTGCAAGAGATCCAAATCTTAAAAAAAAGTATTACCACTAACTAGAGAGCATCCTTCAAAAGAATGTAAAAGGTGTGCATAATCTATGCCATGGTTTTATTGCATGCATACAAAATCAGAGCAGTCAGACCTCTTACTATTCCACTCTTTGCAAATACTGGCTGTACAGGTGACTGCTTGTAACTTTTAGCTTCAATTCCATGCTTTAAATCTAGACTTACTTCACGTTGTGCTCCACGTACCCCTATAAAAAAATTAAAATTTTCCTTTTATAATAAGTAAAAAAAAATAAGAATTTAAATCCCACTACTGTATTATTAATATTACAGTATGTCTTTGGGCAAAATCATGATATTGATCTACAATGGTGTTACACCATCAAAATGTGCCATAATTTATGATACAGGTACAGTAGTACATTCATTTTCAATGCTACGATCACACTAGAGTCTCAAGCCAGGCTTGACTCACCGCAGGTGAGATTTTCGTAATGTGAACGCACCTGGCATGACCTCGATCTCAATCGACTTATCTCGATCCCGGCTCAGCACCCAGATTGACCCTGGAATGACCCTGGCGCGACCGGGATTGACATTTCCTCGTCGGCTGTGGACCAATCACAGTCAATGATGCCGCTGCGTTTAGAAGTTCGATTCCAAGGAAGTAAAGATCGACCGCAAGAATTTTTTTGCGCGCAGGGCCGGTATTTTGATTGTGGCAGCGCTCTAACTTCCTGTTTCGACTTTCCTAATTTTGGAGGTCAATCCAACTAAATTCAGGTAGTGTGACCAACCCAGAATTTCAAGTCTGGCTTGAAATCTCACCCGTGATGAGTCAAGCCAGGCTTGAGACTCTAGTGTGACAGTAGCCTTTGAGACCTTCCAATCGTCAGTAGCACAACCTTGTACCTTTCAAATTGGCATAAGGGGGAAATGATAAGCGGGTGAACAGAATGTGTAGCTAATAATACTGTAATCTCTAGATGGAATAAAAAAACACTTCTCGTATCACTATTTAAGGTTGGAACTTGCCAATGTCATTTTTGTGTGTCCTTCTTTAAAGCTCTGTTCAGACTACCAAATTTTATTTGACAAATACATGTAACATGCCTAAATATATAGGCACATCATCACTATACATGGACATAAAATTTTTTGTCAAAAGAAAATTTGATGATCCGGATGTTAAGTCTGGTCTAATGTGCAAAAATACATTAGCACACAAGATCTCAGTACACTCTTCTAAAAGAGAGTGGATTTTCTCCTGGTGTACTGTCCAAAGCAGGCAATGATATGCGGGTCTAGGGCTACAGGGACTTATCCAAATTCTCTTGTTGATTTCTACAGGAACCATACATGACAAAGACAAGCCAAACCAGTCACTCGTCGCAAATCGTGTTTCAGAGATAATGGGCACAACATGCTGGAATGTCGAAATTTCTGAAATCTATTTTATTGCACTAAACTAACCTTTATATATCTATACATGCATTTCTCATAGCTCTCATTTTACTGTTTAACCCTGTATTAATAACTGAAAATCGATTTTTGCGACCAGTGACTGATTTGGCTTGTCTTTGCCACATATACCAATACTGTATATTCATTAATACCTCGAGAAACTTTGCTTTCAAAGCAGACTTCAAACATATCATAATCATCGGTGGTAAAAGCAAATTTGCCTTCATGTGCATCTTCCTTGCTATAGAGAGTGTGGCCTTTAGAATCACCAACCTGAGTGAAAAAACAAAACCATAAAAATGATATTAAAACAGGCTAAATGAAGAGGTGGATAGAGATAGGAGAGGATATATAGTAATAATATGTTATATAGATCTAGGAATGTCTTGATATACCCCTGTTGTCAATTTTTGGATTTTTTCATCAGTATTCTATTTGCATGGAGATACATTAAAATATTAAATAAAATTGACTTGGAAAATAGCAAAAAAAAGACAAAAAAATTTGGAGAGACATAACCAATATGTAATACATTGATTATATATTGAGACACATACTTACAAGTTACAGCTAATTTTTTAACAAAATATGAAAAATTTTTTTTTTTAAATTTCCGCATCAATATTTCCCGAATTTTTGACGTGGGTGGGAGTGATAATCTAATAAATTTTTCTATTTGACCTTACACGAGGCCTTTCAATACATACATGGGGTATTTGAAGACTTGGCATGGTTGACTTTGGGTGGTTTCATTACTGATTAAAAAAAAAACACCTCCCTCCCTAGGACGATCAACAACTCTTTTTTTTTACATGGCCAAGGTTAGAGCCTAATTACTTTTTATCTATTCTTCTAGGCCTAATATAATATATTATTAAACTAAGTCTAAGTAAATTGTGAAACTTGCATGTACTGAAAAAAACAACACTTACAAAATTCAATGAAATATTGTAATTTATTTAGCCTACTAGGGTACTACTAGGAATCTGGAGGCCTACTGTAGATTAGACGTCTACCAGGATATGAATGATGTGATAGTAAAAATCCTGCCTAGACTAGGCTACAGCTTGGCCCTGGCTACTTAGCTAGGCTAGGGCTAGGAAGGACTAGGCTAGCCTACTACTACTAGGCCAGGGCCTAGGCCCTAGCTAGTAGTAGTAGTAGTAGTATTAGAAACTAAGTAGCAGCATTAAAATACCACCACATAAACTTATATCGTCAATGCTGTAGAAAAACACGTATACACACATGCAGAGAAGTTTTATGTCCGGGAGCATCGCTCAGTTTGTATTCACCAGTGACCAATACATCTTTATGGATCTCTTCCTTCAAACATTTCTTGACGTTCGGCGGCAGCATCATCGACAGTCCACATATTTCGGTCACGAAAACCGAGCACAAAATACTAACTATTGCAAAGAAATTCATAATGAATAATATCTCAGATTAATTCAAAATATAGAAAGAAACCTCTAGTAGAGCAGCAATGCTTTAAAATACTGTTTTCCCCTCATATACTGGTAGAAATACTCTCCACCACTCCACACACCATCTGCTGCCAAGTCGTATGCTGGTACACTTACGCTTTCAAACGTGGCAGAGCCGACCATTCACTGCAGCCGTGTCCACAGCAAAGATCGTATAGCGCCGCTGTCCACAGTACCTCAAAACCTGCCTTCCGTCACTTCGGATAACTTCGGATACGTTCGAGTCACTAAAGCTCTGTCATCGTTGTTGTTATTATAGGTGGCGCACATTCCCTAGTACTGTTGCGTAATACCACATGTAATGAGGCTGGCGCGGTTTTGATTTACTTATATTATTTTCATGAGAAGAATTTTAAATAAGTATATAGCTAACAATATTGAAATAACAACCGTCAACGATGATTATAAAATATTTTCCATTGTTTTATAATAGGCTATAGGCTAGGCATATTATATTAAACCAACTCCCTGATTAATCAAACAAATATGACTAATACAGTAATTAAAGAGTAATAAAAAAAAACATAGAAATGGTAAAAAATTGTAAAAAAAACCAAACAAACTGTTATTTAAACTAGTGCTAAGTTTATAGTATGGAAATTCATTCAATGTTATGTAGATTAGAAATCGGAACATTTTATTAAAAGGAATCAGACAAACAGTGTGAAACGAAAACGCAATGAAAACATCAGATTATATAAACGCATTGATTTGGCCCTGAAACCTAGATTAGAGATAGGCCTACCGGGTTGATGTCCGGCGGTTGAATTTCCACCATAGTTTTTACTATTTGTATACTGTATTGTTTTAGGTTGTCGTATTATCTTTGCAGGACCATAATGTAAAATACGTTACCATCTCGTCTGCATATGTTATCCTGCCTAATATATGTTTTAATAAATAAATAAATAAAATATATAAATAATAAAGGATAATATAAATCGGTAAAAGCCACTGTCATCCAATTGAATATACTATGCATGTCGTACAGTATATCATAAACAACACATACAGTCAATTATGAGACCTAGACAACTTAGAAACACAAGCATTTTGATATAGTCAACTAATCAACTTCCAATGATCGGAAGCGGCACGTATCAAAGGGGCCAATAAAATGTCCTAGGGTCCTATTTTTTTTTCCTTGCTCTTTTATGCTGTCGCCTTCAACATGCTGAAGATTATGCAGATTAATATGTGTGTGTGTGTGGGCAGGATGCCTTACGTCTACACC